GTAGGCTCAGTACCCGCAGACTCGGCACCCGCAAGCTCAGCACCTCCAGGCTCCTCACGCGCAGGCACAGCACCCTCAGACTCGACACCCCCAAGCTCAGCACCGCCAGGCTCCTCACGCACAGGCACGGCATCCCCAGACTCCGCACCCCCAGGCTCAGCACCTCTAGGCGCCTCTCGCTCAGGCTCCGCACCCCCAGGCTCAGCACCCCCAGAGACAGCACCCCGAGCAGGACCACCTCCAGCAGGACCTGAGTCACCAGTGACCTCAACAGGCGCAGGTACCGGAGGGTCTACCTGAGAAACACCTGAAGGAGCAGGACCTGGCGCGGGGAGGGGGTCTACCTGGGGAGGACCTGGAGCGAGAAAGAGCGGCGGGGGGGGGCGAGAGACAGTGCGGTAGGGAAAGAGACGGTAGAAGGGAACAGACTCGTCAAAGGTGACGTCCTGAGACGCAAAGACACGGCGCGAGGTGGGGTCGTAAAACTGCCAGCCAGGCGCGTCAGGAGGAAAACCAAGGAAGACGCAGGGAATGGCGCGAGCAGAGAGCTTGTCCGCGGTGAGATCGCGGACAAAGGCACGAGCACCCCAGACCCGGAAACGCGACGCATCGCCAACCTCCCCCGTCCACAGCAGTGTGGGCGAGGTCTCCGGCAAGGAGACACGGGGCCAGAGGTTGAGCTGATGCGCGGCGTACCGGACCGCGAACGGCCACAGAAAATGGGGAGCCGCCGCATGGATCATGGAGGTACGAGCGACCTCCATGACTAAGCCAATGCGGCGCTCAGCAACCCCATTCTGCTGCGGAGAGGCCGGGAGCGTGAACGACTGGGTGATGCCGTGCTCCGCACAGAAGGCTGCCAAGAGGTCAGAGGAGAACTCACCACCTCTGTCAGAGTGCAGACGCAGGACAGGAAAGTCCCGCTCGAACCGCTCGCGGAGCTGGAGACGCACAGCGCGGATCCAGGGGATCAAAACAGCAGGGACGTCTCCCTTGCTGCGCAAGGGGAAGACCGTGGTGTAACGCGTGAAGTCGTCGACAACCAGCAGAAAGTACCGCTCACGGCCCTGTCCCTGGACGCGGGCTGGGCCCCACACGTCCAGGTGAAGCGTCTGCAGGGGAGCCTCTGTGGGAGGAAACGAGGAGGAGTGAGGAGCGGCGCGCTGCCGCCCCTCGACGCAGGGAATGCAGGGCGGCGCAGGCGAGGGAGGGAGGGCAGGCAGAGACCTGGGAAGCCCAGAGACCAGAGAGCGAGAGTGCATGCTACGAAGGCGAGGCAGGGAGGGGTGACCAAGGCGGTGGTGCCACAGGAGCGTGTCGTGCGACAGGCGGCGGCACTCACACTGGGTAGCTACCTGAGCAGACGCGTACAGCTGTGGAGACAAAGGAGCGGAGCGTGAAACAGTGGTGAGGGTGTACAGACTGGACCCCGGCTCACGAGTGAACGTGGCCAGGTGGCGGCCAGTCTTGGAGCACGTACAGATCGCCACACGCTGCCCTCCAGGAGTCCAGGTGTCAACCCAGTGATCCTGGAGGACGGCGTTGCTCACCAGGTTCGTAGAGAACGAGGGAACGAGGAGACCTGACAGCTCACCAGACGGGACCGCCGGGCACGGGAGCACAGTCGTGCCGCGTGCAAGCACTGGGCCCCCAGAGGGGTCAGCCAGGGAGACAGGGACAGGTGCAGGGAGCGGAGTGACGGTGGTGCTATCACGAAAGAAACAGCGGGAAGCACCAGAGTCAAGTGTAAACGTGTGCAAGGCCTGAGCCGACTCAGTACCAAGGGGAGCAGACTCACTAGCACCTAGGGCTGCAGTCCTTATACCGGGGTCAGGCGGCACACACAAGTAGCAGTCACCCTCAGCACTAACAGTCAATGCATACATGGCAGCAAGAATAACATCATAGTCCAGATCAAAGATAGGCACATCACGCCTAAGCAGCTCTGCCCAGTTGGGGAACTCAGTAGCATCAGGATACTTAGTACGCCAGGCGTCACTAAGCCTAGCAAAACAACGATACTCAGTGTGAAAACCGTTGCAGGGGCGACCCTTGCGGGGGCCAGTACGAATGACATAGGGGCAGCGGTCAGAACCCCGAGACGCCCCACGCCCAGCATACCAGTCATTGAGCTGCTGGGAGGTGAGGGGAGGAAGCTGCTGCTGCTGCTGTGGCTGTTGCTGCTGCTGCTGCTGCTGGCCACCCTTCTGGCCAGATCCACCCCCACTCCCACCTCCACCGCCACTGCCGCTGCCTCCTCCCCCACCACCGCCGCCGCCGCCTCCACCGCTCCCGGTCCTGCCGCCACCCCACCCACCGCCTCCACCCCCACGGCCACCCCCACCACCTCCACCACCCCCGCCGCCTCCACCACCGCTCCCTCCACCGCCACCTCCGCCACCCCTGCCACCCTTGCCGCCCCTGCCACCACCACGCTTCCCACCAGGAGCGGAAGCCGCTGCGACCTTCTCCGCACCGAGGAAGTCGACAGCAGTAGCAGCAGAGGCGTAGGAGGGGTCAAGAGGGGAGGGGGAGCACCCCTCAAAGAGGGGAGTGCGGGGAGTGCCACGAGCAGCACCGACAGCGAGGATGTTCTTCTCTGCTGCGACCAGCTGCTGCTCGAAGTCGTCCAGAGTGATAGTTGGAGGATCCTTGGCAAGGAAGTAATCCCTGACAGAGCGAAGAGTGTCAGGGAGGCGGGTGACGAGGATGTAGAGGGTGAAGTACAGCGGGGGGGTGTTCGTGGCGAGGAACTCTTTGGTAAGAGCGGCTCGAAAGCGGGCGTCACTAGCGCGGAGGTGAGTGATAAGGTCGGCAGCAGTGTGAAACGAGGCTAAGTCTGGGAACAGGTAAGGCAGGATGAGACTACCAACGGTGGCTGTGGTCGGGGCGGAATAGCGGGCAACGACAGCATCATACAGCGTCTTAGCAGTCTGAAGCTGGTTGAAATGCGCGCGCTCAGAGATCGGTAGGTGATTGCGAATAACAAGGCGCGCGACAGCATCGCGGAGCTCCCACTGTGCTCGTTCAGGGGCAGGAGCAGTCTCAGCAGGAGTAGGGACAGTGCCGGTCACATAGGCTAGCAGGGACACTCCGTCTGCGACGTCAGTCATAAGGTAAAGGCGCAGGTCACTAAGCCAGGTGTCAAACTCGATGGGGCGGCCGTCAGGCTCAAAGGCGAGAACAGTAAGGGTCGCCATGGTTGTAGCGCAGGCAAAAGTAGCAGGCTCAGGCAGCAGGCTCAGGCAGCAGGCTCAGGTAGCAGGCTCAGGCAGCAGGCTCAGGCAGCAGGCTCAGGCAGCAGGCTCAGGCAGCAGGCAAAGACTGCAGGTTCAGGCAGCAGGCTCAGGCAGCAGGCAACTGTAGCAGGTAAGGAAGCACGCAGTTCTGTGACAGGCCGCGCGTAAGGCAGGTAAGCGCACGACTCACGGGCGGCTAAGCGCTCAGGTCGAGGCAGTGGCGCACAGGCAGGGCAGGGCACGCGCTGCTGCGGGCTGCGCGCGGCAGCGGGCTGCGCGCGGCTGCGGGCTGTGCGTGGCAGCTGGCTGTGCGCGGCGACGGGCTGCGTGCGGCTGCGGGCTGCGCGCGGCGACGGGCTGCGTGCGGCTGCGGGCTGCGCGCGGCGACGGGCTGCGCGTGGCTGCGGGCTGCGCGTGGCTACTGGCTGCACGCGGCGGCGGGTCGCGCGTGGCGGCGGGCTGCGCGCGGTGACGAGCTGCGCGCGACAGCAGCGAGCACGCGGGCGGCTAAGGCAGCGGGGCGCGCTAAAAAAAAAAATGCACGCGCGCATGCAGCCGAGGCGCGCGCGGGCAGCAGGCAAGGTAGGCACGTAGGTATAGCTGTAGGGAAAGTAACTCATGAGTAGGTGGGCCCCAATCTTAGGTCCTTAGGACCATTGCTCTGATACCATGTTGAGATAGCTAGGCAAGGTGAGTTGACTATCGAGAGAAATTTTACAAGTAGGAAAACCCTAAGGGGTTATCCCCTATAACATCTACCCCACTACAGCCTACCAATATGTATCACACATATATATCATTTGACACCCTCGACCACAAACGCGTTTCAAAATAGAATAATCAACTGCTTTACGGGAAAACTGTACCCCAAACGTTTTAGGGTACAAATGTTTTTGCACAATTTCTGCCCGAAATGTTTACACCTTCAAAGTGGCATTGGGGAGGCTGTCGTTGGTGCAGCCAGCGGAAACCAAGTATATTTTGCCCGTAAAGTACTGTTGCTTGACCAGTGGGCAACAGTGTTTGGACCGCGGTCCGCAGCGAAAATTACCGCACCAGATTCGTAGGTGTCCCGAACGTACTTCAGGTTCTGGTTTGGATCTGCCTAACCTCTCGTGAGGTTTAAAGCCCATGTTTGCTGCTTCCGAGCCTTTACCGAGCCACGCAATACTGTGATAGGGCTGTGGTTACCCCTGGACTGTGAAGCTATCGAACAAGGCCTAAGCTTCCGCAGAGATGAGCCAGCGGAGGAATAGTTTGCACGCCGCTTATCACGTGTGTGCAGCCAGGGAAACCGAGTAACTGAAGTCTCATGACTGTAACCAGCCTAGTTGGTGTATGAGATTTCGGCTCGGCCAGTTGGTGTCCCGTCCTAGCACCAGCACTGTTCGACAAGAATGAGTCAATACAGATCAAAGGCAAGAATGAGTCAAAGGCAAGAATGTGTCAATACAGTTCGGCAAGGTTGATATCTTAGTTTTAGTTTAGTGATTTTTCGATATCAAAGGCATATTCGCCAAGAATGAGTCAATACAGATCAATTGCGGAATGAAAGGGGCAATCAGACGGTATTACTTCATTAATTCAACGTCGCCTTTGACTCCTAGAGGCCTCTCCTCAATCCTGAACCCAGGATTCGCCGTTTTGCGTATCCGTCGTTGCATAACGAAAATCCTCTCGCATGTTCCAACCAGAGCACAGCCATGATCTCAGCATGCTACAGGTGCTGCCTCTTAAGCAGGCTCAATGTCAGATGTGGAGATGAACGTTCTAACCCTAACGATCGTGTTGAAAGACACCTTCTTTCGTAGATGCCTCGGCCTCGTTACATCGTCACCCACCATCGTTTCAAGCGGCGAGACAGGCAGCAGGGGAGCCGAGGAGGAGAGTGGTGAAGACAACGACAAGCTGCGACGCGGAAGCGACGCACAGTTGAACGCAGCATCTGCAGAAGGGAAATCGTCGACATCGGAGCACGACGATATGCAAGCGTCTCTACAGAATCCGCTTGTCGAGGACGAATCAGCGGATGTGGAAGGGATGATGGCAGCTGTTGGAGGAACGGCCGTGGAAGGGGCGACTATGCGGGAAGCGGATGTGGGGAGAGCGGATGTGGGGGGTGAGGATGTCACGGGGTGAAGTGATTGCAGATCGTGCAGGCTTGAGCAAGAGGATGCGCTAAACCGCAGCGCGCCACCCCTATTCATGCCTCTACTAGTAGTAGCGTTCTTAGAGGCCGATGAATCAGGTGTGCAGGGAGGCCGTGCCGCTGTGTGGAGAGCTGGTGAGCGGACAGCTGGTGTGTGGAGAGCCGCTTCTGCTTGCAGCTGCTGCAGCTCCGAGCAGGAGGAAGAAACATGCCGCGGTGTGCCTCTCCTGTACAGACCCCGGTTGTTGGTGGCAGCGGTGGTGGTCCTAGCGTGATACCTTCCCAGAGGAGCTGATTGGCTGGCGGAGGCTGACGCGTCGGGAATGGTGCAAGAGTAGAGCACGGAGCACTCTGGCGAACTGCCCTGAAGCGAGGTGTTCTTAAAGGGGGAAGAAACAAAAGAGTGTTGGTCGTCACTCAGAAGCTTGATGTTGCTGCTGCCATGCTGTGTTGTCACCCCATCACCAGCCAGAAGCTTGATGTTGCTGTCACTCAGCGCCCTCGCCGTAGCAAACGGCCCAAGGGCCTCTGTGGTGGTCCTCATCGGTCCCGATACTGCTCCCTCTGCTGCTCCTGCCGTTGTCCTCGTGCCCATTCGTGCTGTAACTGTCCCTGGCGGAGGAGGCGGCTGAAAGGCGGGGTGGTCGGAGGCACGAGTTGCGCATGTGGAGAAATGAGACGACTCGCTGCCTGCTGCGCATGTGGAGGGAGGAGACAGCTCGCTGCTGCCGGGCGGTGAAGGTTCAAGCTGTTCCAAAGAGCAATGGCGAGTCTTAGGAGGTGAACGGCACGACAAAGTGTGGGGCGACTCCTCCTGTGCTGCCTTTGCTCCAAGTGCCTCGGTTCCGACAGTACTGCGGCCGCCACCAGCAACTACAGCAGCAGTTTCACCAGAATCACCACCACCACCAGTGCCAGCACCATCAGCAGCAGTAGCAGCAGAAGCAGCAGCAGCAGCCAGCAGGCCATCGCTGAGAGACATGGACCGACACAACCTCCTCCTGCTCCCTCCTCTCGACACCACCACGCCACGACTCACCGCTCCTGATGACCTGGCAGCGTCACACTGGTTCCCTGACTCGTCCCCTCCAGCAGCATACCCGTTACTGTCACCCTCCCTAAGTGCTGTTAAGCCGCTGTTTTTCCCCTTGAGGCTTCGCCCTGACAGCATTAGAAGCCGCCAGGGAACACCCCAGGACGGCCTAGCAGCACCATCAGGAGTCAGAGGCCGCATCACTCGCCGCTTCGAGGGCAAAGAATCCGCACTAGCAGCAGATTCGCCTGCTGCGGTCTTTGCTGGAGCGGGATTGGCTGGAGCAGCCTTACTTGGAGCAGACAGGGAAGTTTGCATGTGTGTGTTTGCTGAAACAGCCTCGGTTGGAGTAGTACTGGTGGGGGAAGAGGTGGCGTTGGTTGTAAATCTGGGCTGGGTTTTGGCTGCGCTAGCAGCATCACCCTCTTTGCTAGACCCACCGCTGCATCCTGGGGTTGTTACCAGCGTTTCCTTCGCGAGCGATGCAGCAGCAGAAGCAGGAATAGCGGAAGCAGCAGCAGCAGTTGCAGCAGCAGCAGCAGCAGCAGTAGCAGCAGCAGGAACGTCATGTTGGCGGTCATCCTGAAGCATCAGCGCGTCCCACGCCTCGTCCATCTGAGCCTGCCGCGCCTTGGCCTCCGCTGCGCGTCGCTGAATGCCCTCCGCGTGCGGGCTGCGCACCAGAGTGGGCGACGGCGGCTGCCACGTGGGCACAGGCGTGGGGGACGGCGGCTGCAGACGGGGGATGGTTGATGCAGCCTCACCGCTTACTGCAAGGGTCTTAGCGGCGTGCTGGTCGAGTCCTGGTGCAATTGATTTTTGAGGCGCCTCAAGAATTGCGGCAGCGTCGCCGCTTGCTGCGAGGGTTTTACTTGCAACGTGCTGGTCGATTCCAGGTGCTATTGAGGAAGCGCGAGAGAGCGGAGGGCGAAGGGAGAGCGGAGGGCGAGGGGAGGGCGGAGGGTGGGGGGAGAGCTGAGGGTGAGGGGAGAGCGGAGAGTGAGGGGAGAGGGGAGAGTGAGGGGAAGGCAGAGGGTGAGGGGAAGGCGGAGGGTGAGGGGAGAGTGGAGGACGAAGGGAGAGGCGGGTGCTAGGCCTAGGAACGGCAGCGCCAGTATCGCTGGTAGCAGCAGCTGGGCCTTGTCTTGGTGGCTGGCTCTTCAACGTGTTACGAAAGCTGCCTTGGGTGCTGCCTTGGGTGCTGCTTTGGGTGCTTCCTTGAGTGCTGACGTGGATGGCGGTACTCGTGCTGGCTGTAGCAGGTGCTGTTCTCACTCGCGCAATGCTGCACGCACAGGGTGCGATTCAGGGTGAAACGGGGATCGGAGAGAGAAAAGTAAAGGGAGAAAGGCTGAGTTGGAGTGGAAATGGGGAGACAGTCTCGGGATGAAATGGGACAGCACGAGAAGGGACAGAGGAAGATGAGAAAAGGGGGGTACGGAGGAAGATGAGAAAAGGGGCCCCTTTTCTAAGGAGGAAGTTGGAAGCAAGTAGAGGAGTAAGGCGGATAAGACCAGTGCGGCAGGCCACATAGAAGGTTGTAGTGGATTGGCTGTAAGCGAACCCGCAGAGGATCAGTTTGACAGCCGAGCTGGCAGAAATAGAGCACACGTGTGCAGTAGAACAACAGGTGTAGGAGAGCACAGAGAGCGAGAAACATACCAGGAAGGCACGCGCGAAGCACTCTGGCTGCGGATAGGTGACTCGTCCGAAAGATATTTGCATTGGTTCCCTCCGCAGAAGGGTGACGGCATCGAAGGTGACAATATCGAGGACGAAGACGACGATCTGGCGCCCGAGCTTTGCGTGGAGGGCAGCGAGTAGGGCGAGCGAGGGGAGGGGGCACGAGCAGAGTCTCCCAGTGCGGGGGAGGACAGGGAACGAGAGAAAGGTCGAGCCGGCATCGAGCCACTGACAGGCCCTTTAATGCCTTTGCGCGAAATTGCGGAGGTCCCAGGACCGCCCGCCAGATCAGCGGAAAAATGCGGAAAAACGCCGTCGGGCGCGGCCGATGAGAGCTGTGCGGTTGGTTGAAGTGAAGCCGCACCGGCCGGCGGCCGGCCCGCGCCGGTGTTCAACGGTTCGTCGCGACGCGGCCGATCTGCCGTGGGCCGCGGCGCACTCGGCGCCAGGGACTCAGTCCCGTCTCGCGGCTCGAGATCTTGTTCGTCCCGCCAAAGAGCCGGCTCGGCCGCGTCGAAACCCTGGACGGTCGAAAGATTTAGGGAGAGATTGGGTCTCCGCGAACGGCGGGTTTGGTGCGACAGCGACATGTTGTTTGCGTGCGGCCCGGGGGTCCTTCTCCGAGAAGGGAAAAGAACACGAAGGCGTAGGCCTGCAGTTTGCTTGGGGTGAGCTTTGAGGAGTCGGAGAGAGGGTTTGGCTCCCGTTCCGTCAAACAGAAGTCGTATCACGTTTGCCATTGTCAGACGAGTGGTATACTGCAGAGCAGAGCAGAGGGTCGTGGTGTCGGTTCGTGTGCATAGGATAGGAATTCCTAGTGGTGCGCTACAACAGCGAGAAAACGGCAACGTGTACAGTACTACTAAAGCCGTGTGGCAGAAGCGAGTACTGTACAGGAGCAGTCCCGACTGGGCTGTGGATCGTGCGTGCGTGGCTTCTTCTGCGTGAATCGCGGGTGGGACGTGCGGCTAGGAAGTCAAGCGCTTTGTCTGGTAGGCGAAGCAAGTGGTGAAAAGTGTGTGGCGACTTGTGAGAAGTTCTGAAGTCAAGTGGTCCCAACGGCTAGGGGCTTTGTGTGGCAAGGCGAGGCGATTATCCTTTATCACATTCTAGGGTGTGTTTTGCACATTTCTTCGGAAATGAAAGTCAGGGGAGCTAGTTCTAGCATATGAATCCCTGGCGGAGAGTCGGCTTGGTTTCCTTTTCTTTCTTCTCTAATCCAGACCATTTCTGTAGAGGTGACTTGCGAAATATAGCCCGAGCAACCCCTATTTCCTGGTTCGCTTGCTTGTTGGGTGGTTCTACAGCATTTCCACCCAGTCAATAAAATTGTCCTTCCAGCTGGTGACCTAAGAGGGGGGTAGAGGGGAGGGGCGGGGCCCTTTTCGAGGACAGTATGGCAGTCGTGTCCTGAACGTGTTATGTTCCCATGGGATGGACATCTTGGCCGAGCCGACTTTTACTTTGTTATCCAATCACCTTGCAGGCCGACTTTTCGACTTTCGAATGAACAGGTTGACTTATTGTGTGACACGTGCACCGAGGTTTTGAGCTGGTTCAATTCCACATAACACGATTATGACAAACCATCCCCAAAAATGGTTTCAAACATGTATTTCAGCAGTCTAACTTCTGAGGAATCATGTTTATGCACACATGTACACTCTAACCTGCACTACAGAGTTGAACGACACCTTTCGCCTGTGGATCGGCGCAGAAAGATCAGCGCTTGCGCCACGCCCGTGAAAAGGGGAAGCGCTGGTGTGTCGCCGCACAAGGCAGGGGACGGGTGACAGTGGAGACGCGGAGACCCCCTTGGAAAGGTTATTAGGGCTTAGGTTAGGAGGGTTTGGGCTAGTTGGTCTCAAGGACGTATTGGAATGGCCGGCCAGTTGCGTGGCAGATGATCTGGGAATCGAACCAGCGCTTCCCCACCGTTTAACCAACCGACGACTAGGTGGTGCGACGAACTGAGTAGATCCGCTGGACGACGGGATGCCGGCAAATTGCGAATTTGCGAAAGCCCGATTGTCGCAATGAGTGTCCGCTTCCTCGGGCACTCCACTGCCAGCTCCCGCAGCGTTCTCCGTGTTTTGCCCCTCGCGTGCATCCATCACGACGCTCTGGGCGCGATTATTTGCGTAGGTCGAGTTACCCGCACGATTCGCATCTGCGATCTCGCGAAGATCGCCATTGCTCCCTAAATCTTGAATATCGGACAGCTTGGGAAGAACCTCGGCAGCGGAGTCCTCGATGAGGGAAAACTCCTGGGTGGTATTAATGCAGGTGAGCGAGCGGGCGCGCCGATGAAGGCGGCGCGAGCGCCCGTCCGTGACACCAGGCGCGTCGCTCGCGGACGGCGAGCGCGCCGCGCCGATTCGGGGCGACGATGTTCCCTCCCGCGCGCCTGACTCCGTGCTTCGTTGGAGGTCCGCCAGCATTTCGTGGAAGCTTCGCGGACCATCCTTGGTTCCAGGAACGCATCTCTCTCGTGCGCTGCCGGCTCCTTGAGATGAACGGCTCAGAGTATGAGGCTGTGTCAGGAGACGGGATGCAGCAGGGGATAGAAGAGAGCGCCACGCGGCAACCTTAGAGCCGTAGAGCCGCCTTAGCGGCGAAGTGCTCAGAGAATCTTCGTCATCGCCGTAGCAATCCCCGCGGTCGCAACGGCTCACGTTAGGCTGACCACCGAGGCGCTCCTTCTCTGTACAGCTGGCTGCGGGGAGCTCTGCGGCGGAGGTGCTATCCGATGCGCGCTCCGCGCTCTCCCACGCGCGGTCCATCTCCGCCTCGCGCGCCTGCGCCGATTCCGCCTGCTGGCGGATGATCTGCGCGTGCGGGCTGCGGACGACGGTGGGGGAGCGTGGTCGCCACGATGTCGGTGACGTGGACAACGGCGAGACGCGTGATGCACCGATAAAAACACGCGGATTGGAAGTGGCCGAACCGCTACGAGGGATGCGGCGGGAGTTGCGCTGCTCATGTTCGTGACGAGACGAGGCCGCGGGAGCTTCAAGGACGGTTGCTTGTCTTGCGAGCAATAAGTGCGACAAGGGTGATGGTCGGTGGTCGATGCCTGGAACGCGGGAGAGGTCTACGGAGAGACTTTGTGTGCGTTTGCGACGCCGATACAGCTGCGATTCCGTGGCCGCTGGAAGGCAAACAGCGGCAGACATGCTGGCTGAATCAGTAGAAGAGGGTAATAGCACGAGAACGTTCAAATGTTGTGCGCCTGATAGAGGCTTGAAGCTGAGATAAGACAGTAACACGACGGTTCGAAAGAGAAGCAACGCCTTCACCTCCGAAATACAGCATTGCGATGTACGGAACAGTGAGGGACTGCCTCTTTGCCCCAAATTCCACCCCAGAACCAGAAGTCTCTCGCGAGGACTGATGCGCCGAACGCAGCGGTGGCTCGCGGTGTGCCACGCCACTACGGTCGTCGACTCAAACTGTGCACCGACTCTTTTCGTCGTCGCCACTGGCCACAGACCATCACAGAAGCGAAAGCGTGCCTGACTTTTGGGCGTAGATCTGCATCATGCAACGACAGCTAGACCAAATGACGCAAGAATGCAACACAACATGAGAATCTGCATCCAGTACACCCAGCCCGCGGTAATTACCGCGCGAACGTTTTTCTTCCAGGCACCCTTTGTGCGTTTTCGGGTAATTCGAAGTGCACCCCGAGAATCCGAGACTAACAGTATACAGCTAGGATGCATTGCAGTATCATAAACTGGCACTTAGTGACCCGATACAAGGGCGGGATCGGCATTTACAAACTACTCTCCGTCATCTGGCGAGGGAATGCATGATTCTACCCTCTCCGAATCCGAAACTACCTTCATAAACTAACTTGACCGCGGAAAAGTACACCCGGGTTGTGAAGATACCGCCGGTAAATTTACCGCGGAGTGGATGTACACCCAGTTTTGGAGATGAAATCACCCAGTTTTCTCCCCACAGTCATGATGTACTCGTATCAACCACTTTCGACAGATTGTGCTGCACACTGCACACTGACGTTTGAAGGTTGGCAATTCCTTGAATGTTTTTTTCCGAATCCTGCATCTTATGTGTTGGACTTTGCAGGGTTCCCATCGAAATAACTTGAAACAGTACCCAGCCCAAAGGACTCGTGGACGTCGTGGTCTCGGGGTTTCCGAGGTGCAAAAAAAAGTGGGGTGATTCGCGTTGCAGTAAAGTGGCTGGGAACGCTTTTGTCATCAGTCTTCGGAGCTAGCTTGCGTGACGTGACGTGTACTGTACTGTACTGTAAAACTGACGGTTCGCCGCGTGAAGCTCGACACATTCGTCTTTCAACCTGACCGTTACCATGGTACAGTACAATCGCTTTCTTCTCCTTTCATTTCATTTGCCGTGTTAGTGAAGATCACAAATCGGAAACGTTATGTTGGAACATTCGATGGAAGCTACGAACCTAAAATTCTCCAGCAATTTGCGAGTGCCCTGTCGGCTTTCCAACTTGTCCTCCTGCGTGTTCATTCATCTCTTCCCCCCCCACCCCAATCCCTCCCCAGCCCACATTGACTGCCCCTTCTGGCAGTTCGTGCACAACATGGTGGTTCTCCGTGTCGTTTCCTGGGTCGACATGACCACCACACACCAGACCACGCTGTAGGCCACAGACACGGTTCAGTCATGGCAGGATTGCAATTCGAGAGTCAAATATCAATCAAATCGCCACCGCACTGTACCCGCGTATAACGTTCTCCAATCCTATAAAATCAGCGGGAACCCTTCTGGAAACTACCTTTATACCTTGATCTTGATTTTCCCCATTTCCCCGTCATTAGCGGCACCTATGCGCGCACCTCAGTAGTTATTCAGCTGAAGATGTACGCACTAGCGACTTACAATGTCCAACGGAGGATTTCAGCAAATGATAAGACTAGATTTACGTTACCACGGGATTACAGAGGAAAACAACGGCGAAGAGACGTAGAACCAGCAATATGGAATAGAGGCACTTCAGCCACAAAGCTAGGATCAGCCTGCATATCTTCTGTATTACCCCCTGATACATCCTCCCAACAGTCCTTCATTTCCCTACATGTGACCCCTGCTGGCCATGTGCCGGTATCAGCTATCTTACTTCTTTTTCTCGGCAGCTGCAGCCTTGGTCTGCAGCAACAAGCATGGCAAGGGTATGGACGTTAGTAGACAGCAAACAATTAACAGTATATATCTCTCTATATATAACATAAATGATGGCCCACTGCTGCACCACTCACCTTCTTGACACCGCGGACCTTCTTGGCTCTTGTCCTCCTCTCCTTCATCAGCTTGCGGCTCTCCTTGTTCTTCTTCTCCTCCAAGCCGTTCTGCTCCACTCCACACAAGGCCACCACAGTAAGAATCATTGAAGAATAATACAGACATGAAGGAGGAGAGACGGAGGGCACAAAAAAAAAAAACAGGACAAGCGGTCAGTGGATGAGTACAAATCAAACCATGGGTTTGTTACCAAACGTTAAAAGGGAAGAGAACACCGTGTGAACCCACAATGATCCTGCTGCTCGTGAATAAGAGCACACTAACCATTCCTGCATAATGACACTTCCTACTTCCCAAGAACAAGGTGAGGCGCAAGGAAGCTATTGCCAAAACTTCACACACAAAAATTATGCATCTTTGTGCTTTCCTGTTCATGCTAAATCATGCTAAATCGAAACGACGCCATCACCTCGTTCAGGCATTTGCTTACAACGACTTAACCAGGCAGCATTGGATACTTTCGTGCGCATTTCCAAGGTTCGCCCTTAATTCCGCACATCCTTCACTGCCGTTGCAACTGCTTTCCTGGAGGACCCCCAAACCTCTCATTTTCACACCTTCAAAGTCTACATCACGTTCACATTCATATGCTATCTCCTACCGGACTCGAACCCCAACCTCCTGCTTTCTCACCCTGATGAGGCGGTATTTTGTGTCGTTCTTTGAGACCTCGAGGTTTTCGTAGATGAGTCCGAAGCCCGTGGATTTGCCGCCGCCAGCATATTCCCCTATGAAACACCATCTCCTACCAGATTCGAACCCGCGACCTCTCGGTTACTCACCCTGATGAGGCGGTATTTGGGCTCGAACTTCTTGGCGGCCTCGAGGTTGTCATAGATAAGCCCGAAGCCCGTGGACTTGCCGCCACCGAACTGCGTGCGGAAGCCGAACACGAAGATGCACGACAGGTCGCTCTTCTCGTAGATGGCGCCCAGCTTCTCCTTCAGCTCCGCCTGGCGCGGGGAGACGCGCGGAAGGGGAGGCGGAAGCGGCGGGGGGGGAAGAGGGGAAAGGGGCGGAGGGGAGGGCGGGGGAAGGGGCAGGGAAAGGGGTGGAGAAAGGGTTGGGGAAAGGGGTGGGGAAAGGGTTGGGGACAGGGGAGGGAGAGAGGAGAGGGGGAAAAAAAGGGGGAGAGGTCGGGGAAAATGGGGAGATGGATGGGAAAACAGAACACAGGGATGCGAGTTAGATCAACCGCGACTCGAGGGAGGAGAAGAGGTGAAGGGGATAGGGGAAAAAGGGCGGGAAATGGGGGGATTGGGTGGGGCGCGGACATTCAAAGGGGACGGCCATTGGAAAAAAGGTGCGGGAAGAAGCAGAAGCGCAAAGAGCGAGGGGGAGAGAAAAGGGTTGAAAAGGGTGGAGAGAGGCAAGGGAAGCGGGAGGGGGAACTGGGGGAGGGGAGTCCATTGAAACGGGACCGGGCAGTGAAGAGAAGGTGCGCGGAGAGACAGGAGCGCAAAGAAGGACGGGGGGATAAAGGGGTTTTCTAACGGGCCTCAAGAGAGGTGCGCGGAGAAACAGGAGCGCAAGGAGCGAAGGAGGGTGAAGGGGTTGAGAAAAGTGGAGAGGGAAGTGAGACGGGAGGAACGGGTGAACGCAGGAAACAGAATGACGAACTGCGACAGTAGGGAAGCGGTATAGATGGAAGGAAGGGGTGCGGGACTAGAAAGCGGGGAAGGGCACTAGCTGTGCGCAGCAAGTGGGAGTGGAGCACGCAGCAGGGGGGAGTAAAACGAGCTGCAGGGGAAGGGGGAGGGGTGTACCTTGGACACGTTGGCCTTGCCGGGGTGCAACACATCGATGATCTGCCACGTCGGACGCACAGCGGGTGAAGGACGGGCGGGAAGAGTGGCGTGAGAAGGAATGCGCCGAAAAAGGGAAAATGGCGAAGGCTCAGAAAATGGAGGGAGAGAAGGAGAAAAGAGAAGGGGGAGACTAGAAGGGGGAGAAGGACGAGGGGGTGGGGGTAGGGATGGGGTAGGGGGTAAAAAGTGTTAGCTGAGCGAGTCTAACGCAAAGGCGGTGGGCGAAGCGTTTCGAACGATGAAGACAAAGCAAGTGGGGAAGGTCACACTGGATCAGGGTAAATCTGGCCGTCCCTCCATGCTTCATGTGAGTTTTTTAACGACAGCGACATAGGCATGAGACAACCTAACCACGGGCAGGGGTTTATATAGCAAACTTGAAAACGTCGCCAAACCGGAATGTCACTCAGAGTAGGAGGTGCGTGGAAAATGAACGACGGCGACAGCAGAGCCAGGCAGAAATCAACGGAACCCTAATCCCTTCCGGTATTTATAAGCCGCGTGACAACGGAACCCTAATTTGTTTATATTTCGGCTAAATTTGACGACACTCGCGCTTGTCTCGTACGATCACCCTCGCATCGACGCTACATCCCCAGCTGCCCTAAATGATAGTTCCACAATGCGGTCCGTAAATCCGTAACCTAACAGTGCGACGAATGCAGAGCTCTAGCACTGCCCAGCTGAACCAGCCACCGCATACTCCATTGCGGGCGAACCGCCGCGCTCCAACCAATACACTCCTTTGTGCAGCGCTCTAGCATTACTAGGGTTCGAATCGCCGCACCCCAACCTCCACCGTGACGAGTGACACCGAGGTGTGCATGCCTTCAGACACCCGCACGCCGCTGCCTTCGATCGACCTCAAACGAACGCTCCAGCGACTACGGCAAACCCTAAAAGATGCGACCGCGAGGCTCTGCTATACTTGTTCGTCAAACTACGCGACAGCCCTAGAGATGATCAAGGCTGGCGTTCCCGCGCCACTCGCCGTCGCGCCAGACCCGCGTGCAAAAGCGGTCAAAACAGGATTCGAGCTTGTTAACAAAACTACTCCCGCGTATAGACTACAGTCGACTGATCGATCGGACGGGCAGGGAAAAGAATGCGCTCTCCCATTGCGTTATGCGCACACTGATCGCTCCGTGGCTAGCGCACCTAAGCTTCAAACCACACAGCGTCGCAGGGACACGGCTAACGCGCAACCACACAACGTCGCAGGGACTGGGCTAACGCGCAACCACACAACGTCGCAGCGACTGGGCTAACGCGCGACCACACAACGTCGCAGGGACTGGGCTAACGCGCAAGGCGCGCCACGAACGATGCTCGGCTGTGCTCAAAAAACGCCTACAGGCCAAACAAAGCTTACTACGATAAACCTAACCCGGACTAAACGCGTAGAGACGGAAGGACGAGGGCCAGGGAGGACGCTCACAAACTGCTTCCGCTGCAACAGACGGTTGGTCATAAACTTGCGCGTCCGCACGGTGCAGGCCTTAGCTTCCGCCATGGCTCTTAGATTCTCCTTAAATTCTGGGAAGAAAAAGGCTACGAGTGATACTTAAAATGCTGCTGCAGCGCCAGTTGCGCGTGCGGGAGTTACGGAGACCAGGGAGGATGAAAAAGGTCTGAAAGGATCCTAGAATATGCGGCAGGAGGTATGTGTAGGAGGCGACGGGGGAACGACTTGTGGGGAAGGTGGGGGAGGAAGCGGGGAAACTGGGGGAGCGGGGGTTTTGCCCGCAGCATACGGAAAATGTGAAAATGCAGGGGAAATTTACGCGGAGGCGGGGAAGGGGAGGGGAGTTGTCAGGGGTAGGGCGACGTGCGGGGAGGGCGAATGCGTGGGGGTTTTCAGGGACAGCTTTTGGGCTTCGTGTTCAACCTTGCTGCCCGATGGGATTAAACTCGATAGAGGCTGATTCTCTCTGACTCTGTGTACGGGAAAATCTTGCTAAATTACACCTTCTATGCAGATACAATTGCAAATGTGCGGTGCTTGTAACTAACCTACCCTCAGCCTAACCATCTAGTGTTTGCAAAAGTCAATGAGCCACGTTACGGATGTCAAGTACACCTTTGGTTTTGGCCTAGAAATCCCCTTCTATATGCAATGTCCTTCATTTAACAATGCACGACTCTTGCACACGTGTGAGTGATCAGCCCGAATTAGATGTATGATCAAACAAGAACAAACAAAATCGTAAAATGGAGTATATTGATGGGCCTGTGACTCAAAACTGTGGGCTCCACTTCGTTTATAAGTTCCCACATCACATCAGAAAGTGATGATGGCTGGTCGACCATAGTGACGCCTAACCCCTCTCTAGTATGGTACAGCATGGCTACAGGCTACAGCTCTAGCTATCGTGATCATGTGCATTTTGCCATCATATCTTCTATGCTTGCTACCTGCTCATCGGTAGGTGTACCAACACCCCATTTTTCATAAGATGTCATATCCTCTGCCAAGGGAGCCACGTCACCCACAGCATGGCTCAACAGGATGTTTTTGAACACAGGCTCCTTAGTGCTCGAGCTTGCTCCTCCCAGCTTGACATTGTTGAGGGAGATGCCTGTGCAGGGAACTGTATCGCTACACTCCATGTCCATTGCATACCTGCAGTAGAAGATTGAAAAGAGAAACGTATCAGAGCATTGTGCCAGGTTAGCGCAAGCACATGTCTTGGCTGGCACTATACAGTAGAAGAGTCCATCCCAGCAGCACAGGGATTGGAAGGAGGCATTAATAGAGAAGGTGCAGGCGGGCACTCTCTTGGAAGTGGCGGCAAACATCGGCGCACACAATGTTCACCAGCACCACGTCATGAGGTGATGGCTTGGTTCTTGAAATTTTCAAGGCACAAGTAAAATGCGCTTTGCAGGAGCCAACAGGTACTCACTTGGAAGCAGTGCCGTAGACGTCAGTGCATGAGATGTTGACCCATGCCACGTTGCGGAGCGATGGCTTTTAATCTGTTTCACTGAACAGGTGTGCTTTGACTCGACCCAGATTTGCACTCACTTGGAAGCAGTGCCGTACACATCGGTGTACGAGATGTTGACCAATGCCACGTTGTGAGGCGATGGCTCACAGGGGAAGTCCTGATTGTCGTCACAATAGAACTGCCGGGTGTTGACGGGATGAGGGGGAAAAGGGCACAAGAGGGGGTTGAGGGCAACTATGGAGCCTGGGGAATTCATTTGCGGACTTGCCATCATCGTAGTGTCGAGGAAAGGTGCGAGTACGAACGGGAGTTTGAACAAAAGCGAGACCGTAACCACGAGGAAGCATTGAAGGATCCGAACGAAGCAGTTACCGTCAGGACACGATGGGGGGAGGCTGTGCAGGGAAAAGAAGCAGCCGGCATGATTACTGTCTCACCTGATCAAGTGTAATGGCCCGTTCGATGTTCGTCATGTACACGTTCTCGTACTGTACATTCCGCACCATTCCCAAGCCGCCCTGCCACGTCTTGATCCTCAACCCATTCGACAGATCCGATAAAATCAGATCTTTGAAGCTCACGTCCGACACACACGCCACCGCCCCCCCCGCTCCCAAACTCCCGATGCTGATCCCGTGCCCTGACGTGGCAATCAGATTCCGGACTGTCACGTTGGCCACTGCCTGGCTGCCACGTGCCACCAGCGAGACGTCATCATCGCCCCCGTGGAAGGTGCAATTCTCAATGAGCGCGTGGCGCACGCCCAGGAGTTTAAGGCTGTCCGTGTTGGGCGACTCATCAGGCGCGTTGGTAGTTAATCTCCTCACCCACAGCCAGTCGATGCCATAGGAGAACACGTGGTACATGGGGGGATTGCTGGGGGATGGGGGGAGGTAAGGGGGGTGGAGAATGTAGAGATGAGGGGAGAGGAGGGAGTGAGGAGGGCGAGGGGATGCCGTAGGAGACGGCGTGGTACATGGCAGTGTTGCTGTGGGATGGGAGAAGAGAAAGGAGGAGAGAGGAGGAAAGAGAGGAGGGCGTTACTCACCGCAGCGCCACGCCATCGAGAATGACCTCTCGGCAGTTGATCAGCGACAGCAGGTGCGGCCGGTCGTGCGCCTCAGTATCCCAATACCCCTCGCCGTTGCCGTCGAGTCTGCCACTACCGCGTATGACTAGCCCAGTTATCCCTACGAACCGAAACATGCCGTTACTCGCCACTCCGATTTTATCCTCGTTAATGTACAGCGACGGTTCGGGATAGCCCTCCGCAGTTTTGGGGCCGTAGATCGTCGCGTCGTCGATCTGCAGCGTCAATCCAGCGCCGCACGATCCGTTCACCGTGATCGAACGGCTGAGATAGTACTTGGCGTTGTTCCCGTCCGCCTCTCGGCTCTGCTCCGCCAGGATACGGTTCCGCTCCGCCAGTTTGCGCCTCCGCACAGCCAACCTTCTCCCCGCCAGCCCGCGGTTTTCTTCCGCCAGTCCGCGGTGGTTGAGGAGCCACTGCATCGTATCGCTAACCACGTGCCCGCCGCTTCCTCCGCTTCCCCCGCTTCTGTTCCCGCCCCCGCCATTGCGGTTGCCGCCTCCGCTGCTAGTGGGTCCTTTCAACGCGTCCAAGTTAGCGATCGATTTGTCGACGTTAACGTTAACGTTGACGTCCGGCATTGTGACGTCAGGGACCGGCGGCATATGTGGCTTGTTATCCGCGGTATTGTTTGGATCGCTAATCGCGGACGAGTCGTTGTCCGATGTAGTGTCAATCCCGTTGCCAGCAGCACTGTCGCTGGTGCGTTTCGTACTAGCGATTCTGCCCGAATCCTTCGTAGTACCGCCATCCTTGGATGATGTTTCCGCGGAAAAGCTTCCCCCTGAGGATCCTTCCGCGGACGGCGGAGCGACGAGCACGCGGACGCGGACCCCTTCCGCCTCCGCGAGCTTGCAGGCTGCGTCGAATGCGTGGCGGAAGGCGCCCCAGCTATCCCCGCGGCCGTCGGGCTGCGCGCCGTAGTCCGCCACGTGGAAGGTGGCGGCGGAGTCGTCGGAGGGAAGCGGCGCAACTCCCGCGTACTCCTCGGGCCAGGAGGGCGGCGGAGGGAGTAAATCGGACGACGACGAGCTCTTCGCTGTAACGGGGATAGAAATACAGAGAGGGGAAACGTGAGCATTACAAGATAAATTATTACCTCAGCTGCGGGTTTGATTCGTGGTTGGAAGGAGGCGGAGACCGAACATAGATAAACGGCCATTTCATCGTTAGGGCATGGCGAGAATGCGCCGAGTATTGAGACGCGCTTGGCGCCGACAGCTTTAGGGAGTGGGCGAATTGAGAAAGCAATGGGTGGCAGAACGTGCGTTTTGCGCAACGGCAGTGCTAGAGCTTCACGGAGCAGGGATGGGCGTATCGGGTCTTACCGAGAGAGAGCAGTGGAAGGGACGCGAGACAAAGGAGAGCAAGTGCGCGATGCGTAAACAAGCGGCGTGGTAATTGTGGCGATAATGCGGATTCTCCCATGGCTGCAGTCAAGGATGACTTATAGAGCAATTGAGCGTGATAGTCAGGAATGAAATAGAATGAAAACAGAATGATGGACGGCGACGCCCTGAGCCGCAAGGAATAGAAGTTCCGCTTAACTAGCGACGAGGTATGGGTTCTATTTCGACAGAGCTACTGTTGATCTCTTCCACTAAGGTTACTACCGTATCTGAGCACAGAGCTTTTATGTGAACAATGTATGTCCAGCGAGTGAGGTGAGGTTTCGCTGATTGTGCAGAAGCACATGTGGCTTAAGTTGCGAGGAACTTTCGTCGAAGACTAAGCGGAGGAATCGTGTCCTGCCTTTCGACATGCCAAAGACCAGTTTGATTGAACAGCCTTGTAGAGCTCGTTGATTGAGTATGTTCGGTGGGCGCCTTGTAAACAAAGAACGGGACTGTCTGTCTCTCTGACCAGTGTTGAAGTCGTGATGATGAATTTGCTTGGCTTCTTCACATATCATCATCACCACAAACTAGGCGCTGTGGGGAGGCATCATCCGTTCTGTTCCTTCCGTGCCGCGAATGCGGATAAATGCGCGCTTCGCGGAGAGCGGTTTCGTCATTGCGCTGCGAGCAGTCAACTGGTTCTTCCAGTCATTTCGGCTGAACGGATCGCATGCAATTTCAGAGCCTGCGTCGCACACTTTTGCAGAAAACGCGTAGCCAATAGGACGGCATACGGCGCGCGAAGGTGACAGGCTCTGTCGCAAACGAATGTGGGCTGACTGTCCGGCCAATGGAAAGCACCCACACCCAGAAGAGAACTTTCGCAGAACTTGTTATGGATCATTTGAAAAAAACACTCCAAATGGCTAAGATAATCAATACTCTCACCAAGTTCAGCTAGCACAGTAATACAAGGCAGCAGACATGCCTCTGAACTTCGGAAACACTGACTACCCCTGGTTGATGGAGCTGAGAACCACCTCTCTTTCCATAAGTAGCAATTTCTGGAAAGCACACACCGCAGAAGGCCAATGCACGACAGATGTCACACAAGCACCAGATGGACATAAATGTAGAGAAATCTGCCAGATAATGTGGCACAACTTGTCATTCTGCAGTGACGAGACCCACCTGAAGCTGCTGTGGTGTGAAGAGTTGATGCAGTGTGCCCTGGGCCACCAGAGCCGCCACATCAGTTGCTTCCATGACCTCCCCAGCTGCTGCTGGATCCACATGCACTGATGGCTCTAGCTGCTGCGCCATAAACACCCGCACCTGCATATAAACGATTGTGACAATAATGGAACGTGGGTGGAGATTGGATACAGACTTGAGAGTTATGACGTGAACAGATGCATGCACGAGACAGTAGCATTGATACGCCAAATGCAACCCATGCATGTAGACATAATGAGTCGTGCACCAACCCCAACCTCCATACACCCAGGCTAAGGGACACACATCAAGCCCAAACCATTCATTATAACATTATAGACACGCACAACTACACCCACCATTCATTATAATATAATAGACACACACAACTACACCCACCTCCTGGCAGCGCAAGGCAATGGTGGGAAGGCAGCACACTCGGCACAGCCGTCGCATGAGCCATGGCGCAGGCTCGGCACCCCGAGCCTCTGCTGCTGCAGTGCCAAAGCTATCCACGGTGGTTCCGGAGAAGCTTGGGCGGTGGGTGGGTCGGTTGATGAAGGCAGCACAGCGCACCACGTGCATGCGAGCAGCAGGGTCCATGTGAGGGAGTTCCGCTGGTGGGTGACGGGGAGGGGGGAGAGAGGGGGCAGGAGGGAGGGGGGAGAGAGGGGGCGGGAGGGAGGGGGGAGAGGGAACGAGTGCATGAGCACAGCGCACCACGCGCATGTGAGCAGCAGGGTCCATGTGAGGCAATTCGGCTGGGAGAGTGGGGAAGAGGGGGGAAATGGCGAGAAGGAGAGAGGGGGGTGCAGGGAGGAGGGAGAGGGAGTGAGTGCATGAGCAGCGCACAGTGCACGCGGGCAGCAGGGTACATTTGATGGGGATGTCCTTTGAGAAGGATATAAGGAAAGAGGCCAAGGGAGGGGGAGTCAGTGCCCAAAAGGTGCACAGCACACCACGTGCATGCGAGCAGCAGGGTATACAGGACTCTTTACCAACCCTCCCCCCTTCCCCTCACCCGATTCCACTCTCTCACTCAATCTCTCTCCCTTGCTGCCGGCTCAATCTGACTGTTCACTGGAAGGAGAACCACACCTTTGACAACACGGGCCATGATGCGCACAGCAGGGCTCTCCACATCCACACTCACTCCCTCCTCCTCCGCTCCTGTCAGGCAGCGAATGGCGAGCGTGAGAAGGCGCGAGTCGGAGGGGTGCACTGCCACGTCAACCTTGAGGGAAGGAGACGGGGAGCGGAGAGGTGGGGGTGGGGGCGAGTGGGGAGAGAGAGGGGGGAGAGTCAGGGGAGAGGGGGTAAGCAAGGAATGGCGAATGTGAGCAGGCGCGAGTCTGAGCCTGAGGGACGCACTGCCACGTCCACCTGAGGGAAGAAGCAAGAGGTGGGTGGACGGTTAAGGAAGCGGCAGATAAGAGGAGGGGAGGAGAGGGAGAGAGAGAGGAAGGAGGGCGAGTAGGAGCGAAAGAGAGTGGGAGGGACAGAAGCAGCAGAGAGTGGGAATAAAAAGCGGCAGAGAAAGTGGTTGGTAAGGATAGGCAAGAAAGGAGGAGATGAAGGATTGGATAGACACAAAAGGAGGAGAGGAGCAACAAGGAAAGAACATATGATCAGAACTGCTACAATGAAAGGACAATGGCAGCGCTCTCTTGGATGTCAGTGTTGGTCTCCAACATGGTATCTGAGATGCACAGACCAAGGATGGGTCTGTGAGATGCTCTCTTATGCCTGTGAGATGCTCTCTTATGCCTGTGCGATGGGTGACCACAGCATGGGAGCCCTGTAACAAGTACCAAGGAACTGGTTACAGTTCATCTCACTCCAGCAACCACACCACTCACCCTCACGTGCCGCGCATCCGCCTCTCGCTCCCCCACACACGCCATGAGCGCCGAGTGCATGGCGGCACACAGAGAGGCATCGCCGGGCACGAGCGCCCCTGAGGGAGCCAGCACCGCCACACACGCCAGCAGCACGTGCTCGCTGCCCTGCTGGTGATTGTGGTGCTGCTGGTGGTGGGGGTGCTGCTGTGGGGTGACCTGAAGTCGCATGGTTGAGGAGGCTTCCCCTGCAGATGGTGGGAGAGGGATAAGGGTGGAGAGGGAGAGGGGGTAACAGTGGGAAGGAGCAGAAAGCACGCAACGAATCATGCTTTGCAACAGCTGAGTGCGAATGGAGATGGCGTGGGTTTGAGATGCCTCAAGAAGAGCAGAGGAGGATTGCCTGGTCTGAGTTGCAAAGCTGAGAAAAGCGTGAAAAGCTAAAAACGTACTCTGCAGCAGCTGCATGCCAATAGATACAGCGCGACTGGCCAGGGATAAGAGGTCCGCTCGCTCCTTCTCCCTCTCTGCTTCCCCCTCCTCCTGCCCTGTGGCCCCCATCTGAACCCCTCCCTGCTGCCCCTGCTCGCTCCGCTCTCGCTCCTCCCTCCGCTCCGCTGCTGCTGCAGCTGCTGTGGCCCAACCACGGTACGCCATGTCAGCAGCAATGTAATCCACCTGGACCAATAAGCGGGTGGTGGGTGGAGGGCGAGCGATGGGGAGCGGAGGTGATGAGTGAAGGGGGGGACGGTGGGGAATGGGAGGGATGTCGGGGGAATAAGGAGATGAGGGTTATTAGAGCTGTGTGGGACCGACAGAAGATACCACAACATACAAACAACGGGAGGGACGTTGGGGAAATTGTTATTGAGAATTCTCGAAAAACAATCTACAGGAAATAAGGAGACGCCGTACCCAGAAATCAAACTCGCTCAGCTCCACGCTCTCCTCTTCCTCCTCGTCTAAATCCTGCTCCTCTTGCTCCCCTTGCTCCTCCTGCTCCTTGCCTCGCCTCGACTCCCTCTCTGCGTGAATGCTTGCCGCTGTATCTGCCAGCAGGGCGGCAACGGAGCGCCCTGATTGGCTGGACGGGCTGCCGCTGCTGCTGCCGCCCTCCGCGTGCGCCGCTAGGAGCATGGCGCGCAGCAGAAGGTTCCTGGAAAAGGGGCATGAGAGAAAGGGATAGATCAGGGAGAGGCGAGGGGAAGAGGATAGGGAGTGAGGTTTTCCTAATCAGAGGCAGTACCTCACTGCCTCTGAATAAAATTTCACAAATCAACCAATTACTACATTTCCCACCGTTCTCACCACTCTCGACAACACTCTTTCCCCTGCTCTTGCTGCTCCTCTCCTTCTGTCATTCTCACCCGTGCTGCAGGGCCAGCCGCTGCATCTTCCTCCTCTCCCTGCCCCACTCCGCGCTGCCCACTGTGGCTGGTGCAGTGGGGTCCGTCACAGCCCACTCAAACGCCGCCACCTGTCCCCTCAGATCCGCCAGCACGGCTCTCGGCCAATCAGAGGCTGGCAGGACCCCAGGGTCGGACCAATGGGAGCACTTGGAGAGAAACCTGGTGGGGTGGGGGAGGGAGAAAGGGAGGAGGAGGAGGCGGAGGAGGAGGAGGAGGAGGAGGAGAAGGGAAAGGGGAGGGATAGAAGAAGGGGAGGGGAAGAAGCAGGGGAAAGGGGAAGGGGGGGGAGAAGGGCCGATGATGGCCGGGTGGGACGGAGGGGGGTGAAGGAAAGCGGGAGGGCGGGAGGTAGGGGAAGATGTGGGATGGATAGAGGAGGGGCATGGAGAAGAGGAGAGGAGCGCTGAAACATGGAGGCGGCAAGATCGGAACTGATGGAAAAAGGCAGACAAGGTGAACAAGTAGGGCTTCTGGGTGGACTTTTGAGGCGCCTCAAAAGGCGTCTGGGTGGAAATATGAGTTGGGAGAAGAGAGAGAGTGGTGGATGTGCCAGTGCAAGTGTGCAGCAATATTGGCATCTCATTGAGTGAGAGGAGAGGGGAGGGGCGCACCTGTTGAGCACGGTGGGGACTGAGTCAGGGCCGGAGAGAGGGAGGTGCAGACACATCGCCTCCACTGTCCGCCTCTTGGCCTCCACACTGGTGAGACGCGGGGACGGAGGGGAGAGAAGGCAGCGGGCGGTTAAGGGAGGACGGGAAAGGAAGAAGGACAGGGTGTGAGGTGGAGAAGGAAGAGAGCGGGAATGGAAAAGATTGAATTATTCAAGGACAGGAAAGGTTGGTTTTTGGAAATCTCAGATAGGAGATGGCCGAATGAGGAGAAGTTGAGCGGAACGGGTAGTGTGCGACAGATTTTTGTATGAAAGGGTCTGGGAGAGTTTGTTGGAAGGAAGACGTTAAGCGCGGACTAAACTTCTAGGCATCTCAGTATTGTTGAGACATCACCTTTATAGGCGCGTAAAACGGCACACACGATTCAGTAGCGGCAGTTGCAGCACCAACAGCAGCAGCAGCAGCAGCAGCAGCAGCAGCAGCAGCAGCACACCAAATGCACACACCTGTCTGTTTTGCGCTGTTCGAAGAGTTGAAGAAAGAAGTCAGAGGCGAGGGAGGGCGTGAGCAGCAGCGAAGCGTAGAGCGGTGTGAGATGGTCCCTTCGCTGCGCTGCCAGCAGCACACAGTAGCTGATGGGACGGGGAAACGACAGGGGGGCATACAAACAACGCAAGAGCCAGATGGGGAGAGATCGAGGGAATTAGGAAGAGAATAGGGAAGAAGGACACCATGCACCAGGTATCCTGCACTAGGTGTCACCTTCACCAGGTATCACCTGCACCAGATATCACCTGCACGAGGTATCACCTACACCAGGTATCACCTAGGGATGACCTGCATAAGCCACGCTCACGCGTACAGGATGATGTCCCTGTCGTGTTGAGCCAGTCACGCGTGTTGTGTGGACCAACGAGGCAGACGGGACCCTGGATGATGACATGATTTTCCAGGTGGAGGAATACCTGACGGATGCAGAAATTGCATTGCTCAGAAATGATCGGATGTTCATGTGGCGCTAGTGGGATCAACTGATTCGAGACAAAAATAATTTAAACTGGCACCTCCACTTGCCGGATGCTCTGGCAGGTCTCGAGAATGCACGGAATCGGGCTGTGCAAAGAGCAGCCCAGCAGCTTGGTTGCTACTGCTGCTGCTGCTGCTGCTGCTGCTCTTTGCACGGCCCGATTCCGTGCATTCTCGAGACCTGCCAGAGCATCCGGCAAGTGGAGGTGCCAGTTTAAACTATTTTCGTCTCGAATAAGTTGATCCCACCAGCGCCGCATGAAAATCCGATCATTTCTGAGCAATGCAATTTCTGCATCCGTCAGGTATTCCTCCACCTGGAAAATCATGTCATCATCCGGGGTCCCGTCCGCCTCGTTGGTCCACACAAAACGCGTGATGGTGGAAAACATCGCAGCATGATGACAACACCGCAGCTGATGATGCACCAGATACACCTGATGCACATGCATGCATACAAACATGCTGCCTGCCTATTACAATCACTTGAACAAGATGACATATCCTGATGTGTCGAGCTAGTCCCTGTACTGCTGGCGAGCCACTGATGTCACACTAGATATACCTGCACCGGTTATTGCCGTATCATTCAAGTGTGACCCTCATAAGCAACACTCACGTGTCCAGAATGACATCCCCTGACGTGTTGAGCCAGTCCCTGTACGGCTGGCAAGCAGGCGATGACTTGTCTGATGCATCAGGTATACCAGACGCACCGGCAGAAGAACATGCACCTGTTACACTCACGTGTACAAGATGACATCCCCTGATGTATTGAGCCAGTCCCTGTACTGCTTGCGAGCAGCAGCAGGGAGCACGGAGCGCAGCAGCACCACCATATGGGCGCCACAGCGCACCAGGGCGGGGTCGGAACTGGGGTTCGAGGGGGGATGGAGGGGAGGTGAGAGAGGAAGGCAGGGTCAGAGCTGCTCATTTGAGGCGCCTCAGAGCGCAGCAGCACCAGCAGGTGGGCGGCACAGCGAACCAGGGCAGGGACGGAGCTGGGAGGGGGAGAAAGAAGAGGGCATAGGGCGGAGAGAGGAGGACAGGGGATTGTGCGGAGAAGAGGGCATAGGGAGGACAGGGGATTGTGCGAATGGAAAGGCAGGGGGTGGAAAGAGGAGATGCGGCAAAACAGGGAGGAGCAGAGGGGTGAGGCACGAAAACAGGGCAAGCAGGGGAGTGTGGGCGGTGCAGTAAAACAAACGGGGTGGTGCATGGTAGCAGCAAAGTGAAAGAGAGAGAACCTACTCTTCATCCAGAGTGCCGCCCAACGAAGCAGCCAATCCCGAGGGAGCCACAGAGGGGATGATCCAACATCGCAGCATGTGTACACGTGCGTGTGAGTGGAAGAGCGAGAGAAGGAGAGAGAACCTACTCTTCATCCAGAGTGCCGCCCAACGAAGCAGCCAATCCCGGGGGAGCCACAGAGGGGATGATCCAACATCGCAGCGTGTGTACATGTGCGTGTGAGTGGAAGAGCGAGAGAAGGAGAGAGAACCTACTCTTCATCCAGAGTGCCGCCCAACGAAGCAGCCAATCCCGGGGGAGCCACAGAGGGGATGATCCATGGCCGACTTTTGAGTTGACTCAATCAGCGGGGAGAGGGAGAGAACCTACTTGCGAGCCACATTGAGGGGAGGAGGAAGAGAGAACCTACTCGCCAGCCTCATTGAGGGTGGGAGGGAGGGAACCCACTCGTTTTTTGAGAATTCTAAAAAAACATACGCTGCATCATATCTCCTCTCCAGAGTGCCGCCCAACGAACCAGCCAATCCCGAGGGGGCCACAGAGGGGATGATGTTTTTTTTTTTTTTTTTTTTTTTTTAAATCTTAGTAGCAACTCCAAGAGAGAGGGAAAGAGCGCCTACTCGTTCTCCAAAGTGCCGCCAAGAGAGGGACCCAATCCCGAGGGAGCCACCGAGGGGATGATCCATGACCGCAGCGCCTGGATGGTTCCTGGAACGTTCCTGAGAATGAGGTGCATCTGCAGCACGTGGTGGGGGTCGCTGCTGCTGCGCTTGACAGCATCAGGGAGAGAGGGGCTGCATGGGAAGTTCAGGGGAAAGGAAGGAGGGGAAGGGAAGAGGGTGGAAAAAGGAAGCGGCGGGTTGAAAAAGAAAGGGCGGGTTGAAGGGAACAGAAGGAAACTCCTCAGCTCAGGTTCATAAAAAAAGAAAAAAAAAAAAAAAACCTTTTATGATCTGGTGCCTCCCATAGAGGCGCCATAAAAGCAGCCCGTGACACACCCACTCTCCCACCTGGTTCTGAGCTTCTGAAAGAGATCGTCAAAGTCGGCTGGTTGCTGTGCTGCCACTGGTGCCGGCCACACTGCTGCTCCCTCTGCTGTTGACACCGCTGTTACTGCTGATGCCGCAGCCGCTGCTGCTGCTGATGATGAGGAAGATGGCGCTAAAGGCATGGTTGTAGCAGCGAGAGCAGAGGAGGCGGAGGAGGAGGAGAGGAAGAGCGCAGGGGAGATGGAGGCGAGAGCACGAGTGGCAGCGGCAGAGATGGATGGGAGGGCGCGAGGGAGGGGCGGGGGGGAGGAGGCGGAGAGGTGAGCTTCGACCTGCAGAGAGGGATGCCGAGGAGGGAAGCGGGTGTAGCAAGAGGGTGTAGCAAGAGGAGAGGTGTAGCAAGAGGAGAGGGTGTAGCAAGAGGAGAGAGTGCAGTAAGAGGAGAGGGCGAGGGATTGGGAGATGTGAGTAGAAGGCTGGCAATGCCTGCGACTGATGAGATGAGAGCAGGACACACACGTGCAGAGTACACGCGAGCAAATCCGTACACGAGTATGCAAAGTAGTCGTGTGCATGCATTGGGGTTCTCATGACGGGTCGCAGCCCAATGGACTCACGGGGATGTGTTGATGTTACTTTTGAGAAGTTTCCAAAGTAACATCAACATAGCTCCTGAGTGCTCAGTGCTCACCTGGTAGTCGAGCCAGCAGCGCAGCAATGCCCAGCAGGCCGTCTGATCACGGGGTGTTGGGCAGGGGGGAAGAGGTGGGGAGGGGAGGGGAGGGGGGGCGGAAGGGGGCGGAAGTGGGGGGGGGGGGGGGGGGAAAGCGGGGGGGGGGAAGGAAGCAAGGGAAATGAGAGTGGTAAACAAAATGCAAGCCATAAACTTCACACCCACCCACCCCATCACACAAATTCTACACACATGTGCCTGGCACGAGCAGCCTCCGCAGCAGGGTTATCTTAAACCCCCATATCACCAAGCATGGGTATGGCAAGTCTCAAAAGCACACACGCACATAAACGAACATGCACATTCACACGCACCTGCCAGGACGTGCACACAGGCAAAATCTTCTTCACATTCCCACACAGCGCTCCCAGCACAGCCGCCTCAAACGGGCTGGTAGAAGCTTCAGAGGCCACCAGCAGAGACCACTTCCACAGCCTCCTACCCCTCCCCTTCCCCCCCTCCACCCATCTTAGCCCCCTGTGTAGCCCAGGCATGCTCAGTCACCGCAAGGCACCTCTGAAGGACACACACACACACACACACACACACACACACACACACACACACACACGCACCTGCCATGATGTGCACACAGGCAGTATCTGCTTCACATTCCCACACAGCGCTCCCAGCACAGCCGCCTCAAACCGACTGGTCGAAGCTTCAGAGGCCACCAGCAGCGACCACTTCCACAACCGCCTCCCCCTCCCCTTCCCCCCCTCCACCTCCCCCGCCTGTGCCGCCCGCCTTGCCCCTCCACTCATCTCCCGCCACGTGGCGACTGTGGGGAAGCTCTCCCCTGCCGCCCCGGCGCTGGGCGGCGGGGCCCATGTCCCGCCGAGAACCGCTGCCCGCCAGGTCTGCCCCGCCGCCCGGCAGAGGTTGAGGGCGTCGTGGATTCGGCCGGCAGTGATGAGCGTGAAGACGTCTGATAGCAACTCCTCCTCTACTCGCTGTGGAAAAGGGTGGTGTAAGGAGTGAGGCGTGGAGAGGATGGTGGGTGGATAAAAAAAGGTGACAGTGATGAGCGTGAAGACGTCTGATAGCAACTCCTCCTCCCCACTCGCTGTGGGGAAGTGAGAGGGGTAAAGGACGAGACGAGGGGAAGGTGAGGGGAAACAAGGGCCCAAGTAGTGGCAGTGACGGGCATGACGACGGTGCGGTTCCATGAAGCGGCAGTACGAGACAGTAAGGGACCACGCCGTCTCACCAGGGAAAGGACGGGCAAAGGACGAGCAAAGGGCGAGCTCTTACCACGGAAAGCATGTGTGCTCACCTCGTCCTCTGCATGCAGTCGCCCTCCTTCTCGGGTCACAGCATCAGCATCCACAGCAGTCACCATCTCCTCTCCCCCTCCCCGCCCATACCGCCCCTCCACCCCACCAAACGCCAGCGCGTTGCTCCTCCTGCCGCCCAGACCCACAATCCCGCCCAGCCCCACCTGCCCCTCGCGAATCGCCCTCTGCGTGTGCACACGCAGGCCAGAAGCTTCGGTGTAGCTTCCCAGGCAGGTGCCTCGTTCCTGGGGAGAAAGAGGGGGGAGAAAAAGTGCAGAGGAAGAGGGGTGTGAGGGGGAGGAAATGGGAAGGAGGACAGTCGAAGCGACAGTGGGAGAGAGGTGGGAGGCTGGCTGTGAGGAAAGCTGAGGCCCATGGGTTTAGGGAGGCTGTAAACGAGGATACTGGAACCAAAGAAACGTCAGTCAGCTAGACAGCTCTGGTCAACTCAGGTCAACTAGAGTCAACGCAGTTCAACCTACCACCTGCAGCAGCATGAGGCCCGACTCCGCCCGCCCCTCCAGCCACCTCCAGGTCAACTGAAGTCAACTGAAGTCAACACAGGTCAACCTACCGCCTGCAGCAGCATGAGGTCGGACTCTGCCAGCCCTTCCAGCCACCTCAGCACCCGCCAGCTGTGCTGCGCGTTCTCATTGGACGATAGGAAGTCGCACGTGTCCTGTGCTGATGGGGACGGATGCTGACGTGGCAGAGGGGGGAATCACGGAGAAAACGAGCAGCAAAGGGGAGGGTGACTAATCATGTGGGCGGCATGTGTGTGTGACTTGGCATATGCAATCGTTGGCAATCAATAGCAGAACTATATCACTGCAAAAAGGAGAAGCGTACCGTAGCGTGATCAAGTGCAGAGAACTGTGATACGTGAAACGCATGCAGCAAAATGGGATGGGAAGGGATCAAGGATAAGAGCCTCACCAGACACGTATAGAGAGGGTGTTTTTGAGATGTCTCAAAAAGAGCCTACATACACCACCTCTCTACACCAGGATTGCGTGCTACACCTCTCAAGGATAAGAGCCTCACCAGACGCACGTCTTCCGTCAGGTGGTCCGTGTCTGCTTGTGCCATACCATGCCCATGCCAAATGAGTAGCACGCCATAGAAAAAGAAGCAGTGAATGCAGTGCAGGCGTGAACAAACGGAATGCATCAGTTTCTTCCCATCAGTTTCTTCCCATCAGTTTCTTCCCATCAGTTTCTTCCCATCAGTTTCTTCCCATCAGTTTCTTCCCATCGGTTTCTTCCCATCGGTTTCTTCCCATCGGTTTCTTCCCATCGGTTTCTTCCCATCGGTTTCTTCCCATCGGTTTCTCCCCATCAGATTGTCCCCATCAGTTTCTCCCCATCAGTTTCTCCCCATCAGTTTCTCCCCATCAGTTTCTCCCCATCAGTTTCTCCCCATCAGTTTCTCCCCATCAGTTTCTCCCCATCAGTTTCCCCCCATCAGTTTCTCCCCATCAGTTTGTCAACTTTGTCCCCATCAGTTTCTCCCCATCAGTTTCTCCCCATCAGATTGTCCCCATCAGTTTCTCCCCATCAGTTTCTCCCCATCAGTTTCTCCCCATCTGTTTTCCCCCAGCGAGAAGGAAGTCGAAAGAACAAGCGCAGGGATTTGAAGGATTAGATTTACGTGAAATGCTAAAGAGGGAGGGGAAGCAAACTAGAAACGCAGGAAGCAAAGGAGCAGATGCGCATGAGTGGCTCCAAACGTGGCAGCAAGCAAGCATCGATCAGGCACGCACACCAACTCCGCTCCTACCCACCGTATCCAAACAGGTGGTGCATGAGCGCCCATGTGGCAGCCTCTGATTGGAGCGCCTGGCTCTTCCTGCTGAGCACGTGCTCCTGTGCGGGCTGCACACTCTCCCCCGCGTCCGCCCGCAACCCCACCGCCAGCTCCCTGCAGCACTGCTCCAACTGCCTGAGAGAGTCCCGGTATCCCACCACACCTGGGGAACGGGAGAGTGGCAATTGGTGGGTACAGATTGTATAAAGAAAAGGTATTGCCGTGCTGTGTGCTGTGTGCTGTGCCCCTGGAGAGGGTTCGCTGCATGCTCTCCCCCGCGTCCGCCCTGAGCCCCACCGCCAGCTCCCTGCAGCATAGCACTGCTCCAACTGCCCGAGGGATTTCCTGTAGCCCACCACACCTTGCCCTGCCCCACCAATCAATGTGCGGATAGAGGTTGTAGAAAGGGACAGCGGCACAGCGATGCTCCTCTGCAACTGCAAGATGCACTGCACGCTCTCCCCTGCATCCGCTCTGAGCCCCACCGCCAGCTCCGAGTTGACTTTTGAGTAGACTCAAAAGTCAACTCACTGCACGCTCTCCCCTGCATCCGCTCTGAGCCCCACCGCCAGCTCCGGCAGCACTGCAGCCTCCTGTGTGAGCAGCACTGCACACTCTCAACCGCGTCCAATCACCTTTCACCCGCGTCCTCTCACCTCTCACAACAGCACGCCCTCTCACAACTGCAAGGTCAGGATAAGAAGCCTGTTTTTGAGTCGACTCAAAAACAACCGCGAGGTCAGGATAAGAGTTGGAGCAGTGCGGGCAGTAGCTACTCCAATCCAAGTGACTCACCGCGCACAGCAGCCGCCAGCACCCCCTCGAACCGCTCATACACCTCCTCTCCACGGTCCTCAAAGTCCACTGGAGGCTCCTGCACGCGTGACACGGTGATGGTGGTGGTGGTGGTGGTGGTGGTGGTGGTGGTGGTGGTGGTGGTGGTGGTGGTGGTGGTGGTGGTGGTGGTGGTGGTGGTGGTGGTGGTGGTGGTGGTGGTGGGGGGGGAGGGGGGGGAGGGGGCAATAATCACGGGAGGTGGGGAGCGCCGGAGGTGCTGGTGGTGGTGTGACAGAACTGAGACGCGATTGAAATTAAGCCGGTCCATAGGAGGATGCAGCATGTGGTGCTTAAGGGTGCAGCGCAGCTTGTGAGACACGCGGCTCGCATCTAACGACTCACAGCTCGCATCTTCAGCCGAGCCCTTCTCTTCTTGTCGGTTCGCTGCCTCTGCTGCTGCTCCTTCTGCTGCTGCTCTTGTTGCACCTGCGGCTGGCTCTCAGGGTTCATTTCCGCTCTTCCCCTCCCCTTCCCTATACCCCCACCTGCCGTCAAATCTGCGCTCATTCCCCCCGCGGAAAACGGAAAACTTCCGCCAATGTCCGTTCCGACTCCGCCACTACGCCCGGAACCGGGTGTGACAATAAAGGGGGAAACGTGAACCTCTTTAGGGGATCTATACCCCTGATCGGCACCCCTCAGACCGCCGGAGTAGTCCCCAATGTCGATGCCGAACCCGGTCCCCGAGCCTGTACCCGAGGCTTGGCCCAAGCCTGGACCAGACGGTCGGGGGGTGGAGTCCGGGAAGGTGACGAGCGGGGAGGCGTGGCTCGGGGGAGGGGTGGGTCCGGGAGTTAGCCGTTGGCGAATGTCGGACTTCCGTCTCCTGACAGGATTAGGGATTCGAAAAAGATTCGCGATCCGTAAGTGTCACAAAAACTCGGTACACACAGAAAAAAAATACATGAAAGGCCGCTAGAGTAGATACGTCACAACGAGCTAGCACATTCATTTGCGTGGGTTCGCTCCGCGATATTCGCGGTCTTACCCTAGGCGAACGAATTCCGGACGATCGTCCTGCTCGGCAGCGAGCTGCAGCGGCTGATACGCGGCCATGGCTGCCACTGCTAGGCCAATGCCGATGACGATTCAGAGAGGAAGAGCCTCGCTCCTGTCGGCGATCGCGATGCTCCTTACACTTCTAGACGATATGCTTAAGAAATACGCGCCGCGGAGTTCCAATGAGCTGCTGTAGCGTACTGGCGGTCGCCGCCGTGATCACGGTCTGGTTACACTGGCCTTGCGTTCGAGGCTGCTTTGCGTCAGGACCAACATCAGTGCCGGGGGAAGTCGAGGTGAAAAACTGCCGTTCCGGGAGCAGTTATTGCAACACGTCTGGTGAATGACAGCGAGCAGGTTCTTTATAAGAATTCCTGTGAAGTTAAAAAACCGGAAGATAACATTGACAAAGCATTTCTGTGTACAAGTTTGGAAAGAGGGACAAATGAAGAATCAGACCATGCAAAGCAGAACCACCAGATAAGATAGATAATGATATAAAACCCACCCACCTCCCTCCTATGATCACAGGCCACATGTCTCATAACATTAACCCTATGATCCCCAGCAAGATAGTCAGCGAACAAAAAAAGAAAAGCATCCCAAGCAACCCTCCCCAAAGAGAGAAAATTGTAGGAAGCGCTTTGAGATGCCAACAAAACTGGCCTTCATAGCACCAAGACCGACTACTCCTTCTGAAGGCCCACTTGAAGCACCTTCACTTCGCTCAGCATCTTGCTGGAGTTGCATCACAGCATTACCGCTCCACGATCACTCCAACTCGCTCTCCTTCCAACTCGAGTCGCTCCAGGCCTTGCAGTTCACGGAGGGAACACCAAGCAGCTATACTGCTCGGAACCCCTCGGCTGATATATCGGCAAATTGGTCAGTTGTCCAAAACTGACGGAGGTATTGACGGATTGGACTGTCGGTTGATGTAGAGAAGATATCCTGTGCAGGCCTTGTGAGCCACACCTTAAGGCCATGCTTCCACTTGAAATCTCAACTCTCCAGTCTACCTGCCACCAGCTAAACTAAAAACTGCTCCACGCGCCTCCAAACTGCAGTCTGCATCACCGAAAGCAGCATTTATGGCTCCAGAATGGCCTCCAGCTCGGAAGCAACTGCGGCCACTTCGGCAGCAGGGAGGGCATCTAGGGCCTCAGGGGTGGCCGGCGGCATGGTGATGCCCTGCTTGTTGAGCTCCTCCAGAACGCCATCCACTGACGGCGGCTTCAGGCCCAGAGGCATTGGTGTCGACGGATTGGTTAAGGCCTCGCTGATCGCCGCATCAAGGATGTCATTGGCCTGCACAACAACCATGTGACACGCTATGCTGCTTAGTGCCACTGCAGTTTACCATCTCATGTGCCAAACGCGAGCGAGGTATGCGTCTGAACACATACACAAGAGGAAAAAAGCAGCAGCAAGAGAAGCAGGAGAGTGCAAGTGGGGGACTGAAAGCGGGAGAGTGCAAGCAAGCGGGCATACCTCGATGAGGTCCTCCCCGAGGCTGGCGGTGATGGCAGCGAAGTCCAAAGTAATGTCATCCGGGAGGGGAAACATGGGGTTCGGCATTGCCTCGTCCGCAATGTCCGCTGGCTCGGACACCGGAACCGGCGCCATTCCGCCCACAGCCCCTCCCATCGTTCCTCCCATGGTACCGCTCACTGTGCCGTTCACGGTTCCGGTTGTGGCCATCGTCCCGGGCATGACACCGGCGGGAGTGGCGCCCATAGCGACCGAGCCCTGAGCGGGTACGCCAATGGAGGACTGCATGCCTGGCATGGCGCCGTGGGTCATTCCTGCCGGTCCGCACACAGGAGCTCCGCACACCACGCCCTGTGCCTGTGGGTACGCGAGGGGGTCGAACGAGGGAGACGGATGAAGGAGACGGTGAGCGGGACAGAATCAACTAACTAGCATCGGATAAGGACGACGAGGAACAGGAGAACAGGACGAAGAACGAACGTCATTGAACAAGAAGCAGCGGCAACAGAGAGGAGAGAACGCAAGATTGCAGGGCAACACTGGGATATGAAAGGCGCGAGCCACAACGCCTAGGCGACGGCGAGGCAAGCAACACGTACCACAGGGTAGCTGAGTGCGGGCGCTTGCTGGTGGGGGTAGCAGGGCGTTCCGGAGACCATCATGGTGGGATGGCCCCACGCGTCCATCGCGGGCGACGGAGCCTGCACCTGCACGTCGAGCGAGGACGCAAAAAACAGAATACGAGAATAACAAACGAAAATTAGTGAGTGGCTCGACGGAATGTAATTATGAACAAACGAAAGACGATGTGCGCAAGGGGAAGGCTATTATGATGTGAGCTCACCCCAGCGTAGTGCCAGACTGAGCCGTCAGGAGCGAACCACGCGGGAGGAGGATAAGGAGACGGCGCAGCCTGGTGCTGCGGCTGCTGCCACATGTGCGACCGCGAGTGGTCCACGGTCGGGTGGCCCCACACGTGCATCGGCATGCCCATCGCGGGCGCGGGGCTCGGCGCCATCGACGGCTGGTGATGCGCCATCGGCATGTGCGACTGAGCCATCTGATACGGCTGATACGGCGGCACTCCGACCACGGGTCGGGGCTGAATCATCGGCGGATTGGACTGCGCTCCGCTAGGAGCAGGCGCAGTAGTGGGATAAGCCCATGAAGTAGGGGCGGCTGCTGCTGCTGTTGCTGTTGGCTGGCCAGGCCATACCATTCCATCGGACGGTTTTCTGCTGTGCCAGTTTGCGGCTTCGGCTTCCCGAGCGGCGAGATGCCGCCGGTGCGAACGGTACTTTTGCAAGTGGCTGGCGATGTTGTGCCGGGTGAGGCATTTCACTCCCATGAGCTCCAAAATCCGAGACGGAATGGCCTTCTCAACTCCCAACTGCTCTACTGCAAGAACGAATCTTCTGTGCAGCTCCGGTGTCCAGTCAACCTGGGAATGCAAACATACGGAAAGGTGGGAAATTTAACGATGCTGATGTATGGAATATCACGATTGTGAAAACTGAAGATATGGTCATTTTTAGGGATGACACCCGACGGCGTACCTTGGCCTTTTTCTTTCCCGTCGAAGTCTTGCTTCCGCTCTTGCACGACGACTCGTACTGCTCGCTCTGCTGAACACTCTTGGACGACGTTTCCGACGGACGCGTATCGGCACTGGCTTCCGGCTCTGCTTGCGACTGGTCCTTCTGCGACATTTCCTCCAGCTCCGGCAAAATGAGCGAACCTGACATATCCAGCTCGTCTATCTCCCCGCCGTCGAATGAATCCAGCGAGAAATCCGGCCAAGAAGAAATATCACAGTTTTCAATGTCATCTGCTGCTGCTGCCAACGCTGCGTCTTTCCCTTGAACGTCTGCTGTCCCTTCCCTCGCCGGACTACTTTCCGACGCTGAGTTGCCATGTGGTAGCCGCTCCAGGCAGTCCGATTCAACCTTTTCGCTATCAGCATGCTCGGCAGCAGCTGTGACGGCGAATTTCGTGTCCATCTCCGAAACATCCGACGCCAAAACTTCCGCCAAAACGGCTCCTTTTAAAGGATCTGTTGTTGCCAAAGACTCGGTGGATTTCGAAAGCTGAAGCTTTCCGTCAGTCTTACCAGAGCCCTTTTGAAACGACGCCTGCTTTTTGGAGATGATCGGGTCCCGGATCCCCAGGCGCTGCTCGTTCGCCTTCTGCGTCTTATCCTTTCCCTTTTCATTCTGCGCAGACTTCGCAGGCTTCGAAGCCTGCCCCTTAATCTCCACCAGTGAAACAGGAGCAGCGGATACTATTCCAGCCATTGCAACGTACAAGCTTGACAGACTCTGAAACCCTCTAGCCAGAGAAAACAGGGAAGCTTTCTCTGGGTTGGGCACAATGGAGGTGAAGAGCTTGAAATGTGTGAATGTGCCAACCAACAATGTGGGAAAGGGGATCTCATATGTGGCCTGGCAGAGCCCTGTGACATCACCTCGCCTGAGGATAAGGACAGGCGGACTGCTCCTGACAAACTGGAAGCAAGCGGGAAGGGTGGGGTGGATGGAAGGAATCCCCAAGGAACTTCTTTTTCCTCCCCTCCCCCTCTTTTCCGCCCGCCTCCTTGGGAACTCCGTTGTGTTTCGTGCGTTCCGTCCTTGGCGGAAATGTACTGTACACTGCACGGCAACATCGCTGCCTTGGGGGAAGGTTTCTTGGGGAATTTGAGGATTTTCTTGAGGCTGCTCCCCCAGCCATCCCTGAAGCGTGTTGGGGATTGAAAAGTTTGCTGGTCAGGGAAAAAGTGATGGTTGCTGCTCCTGGGCAGCCTGAGGTTTTAAGTTTAAGTTTTAAGTTTTTATTAAGGTCGTAACCCAGACAACACAGAGACTAAACAAGGAGTAACCCAAGCCAGAGGCCTACGCTAAAACCTAGCGTTTATTTAGCTGAACTAAGTTCACACACAGGAGAGTTTGTCCTGCCCACTCTGTGCTATACGTAGAAACCGAGGCCCGCGCTTAAGGTGGTTGGAAGGGGCTGTGGAGCAGCCAAGATGCCCGAAGTTCCGGATGAATTTGTGGGGAGCCGTTGGGCAGAAATTCCTGGGCAGCCTGAGGAATGTATCTGTCGGTCTCCCACCACATGAGGGTTCCAGCTGGCTGCGCTGACATGGGCATCCTCTGCCCATCGAAGTGAATCCAGACGACTGTGGGTAGCTAGCGAAAATTTTGTGCGAACCTTCGACATAGTCACTTGGATAGGATCAACTTCGCGCAAATGCACATTCTAGAAGCAACGGGGAAGCACTTCCACATAGCGCGCCAGGCGGTACAATTCTCGAATGCTTGATCACTCGATTGAACTTTGCCACATCAGCCGAGCCATCCAGAGGAAGATATGTACTACGTGTAGCACGAATCAGGCTCCAGGATCAGCACAAGAATCTGCTTTTCCAGCCAAACGGACGCCGAGCCCTGATGGTCCGTAGGTAAATCAACCCGTTCCCTCAAACATCCAGGCCTCGTGTTGGTTGGAAACACTGATATTGAAGGTATGCATTCCTACCAAGTGGACACAAATTCCCCGGATATTCCGTCGTGGTCTTGAAACTGGCTGGTTAGGAAAATGGTCGATTATTCTTTCGATGTTCTTCACTTGATGAGAGTGCACCGACTAAAAAAATGGAGAAGTAACCCGAAGATATGTTCCCGACAGGGATGGTTGCGTTGTGGAAAAATCCGCCATTGTGTGGTTGCCTGCCTATCGTCATTCGCAACCAAGGTCACGTGACTTCCTTCAAAATGATTGTCGTGCAA